GGGGGGGGGGGGGTCTGAGGCTACAAAGTCCCCTCTCCTGTCACTGAATGTCCATGTGCAAAAAGATTTCTCCCCCCCCAACAGGAAGTAGAACCGCTCCTACTAGAAATGAACGTGTTAAATCTGCTGACGAACAGATAAATCTCTTTACAACATGCTTTTATGTCATCATCCATACAATATGAAACATTCTCAACCCTGTTCCCAAGGTTTTGTAGACTGTAATAAATTAGAAATTGAAGTAGTTTTTTCGCTGTATGTAACAACGCAGTTTGTGAAGCTGTTGGACACAGAAGGAGCTGGAGGTGAACCTAGGAATGGTTCACTGTGACCATGGCAGCCTGATGGCAGAGTGCAGAGGTTAATGGTGCTGCTGCCACGCCCCCCCCCCCCCCCCTCTTCTAGTGGCCTGGCTCCTTTAGGGCAGCTTCATGAACAGACCGTTATCAATGGAAGGGACAGGCATCGGGCAGGGGAACTGAAAGAGACTCATGTCTGCGGTGAGAGCCGCCATGGCAGCAGGATCGTGCTCTATCTGTGTCCTCAGAGCAGGGTCAATCTTCTCCAGCCGTCGCTTGATCCTCTTCGCCTCCCTCTCGCGGATCAGCCTGGCCTGCCTCTTCTCCGGAGTCTCGTTGGCCCTCTTCATACGCATGGCCTCCCTGTCCCTCTGCAGCCTGCGTGCCCGCTGATCCTCCGATTCCTGCATCCTCTGCATGCGCTTGGCCTCGCGGTCCCGCAGCCTCCTGAGTTCCCTCTCGTCCTCTGACTCGCACGCCCGCTTGGTCTTCTTTGCCGTGCGCTCGCGCTCCAGACGCTGCATGCGGGCCTCCAAGGGCTCGTTCTTCCTACGCAGGGCCCATTTTCGCATCGGCGACTGGGCGTCCACTAGCTGCTGATAGGCCACGCAGCTGTTGCACACCAGCAGCACTCCGGCAGGATACACCGGCATCGGGCTCAGGATGTCGGGGATGGGAGGAAAGCCCGGGGAAGAGGAGTTAAGAGCATCGGGGATAGATGCCAGTGAGGGCCCTTCAGAGAGGAGGCTATCGGGCAGCGAGGGAAAGGAGGGTCCCTGGTCAGAGCCCGCGCATGGTCCAGGGCCGTGACACGGTCGGGGGCCTTGACACTGGCTCGGCATGTGGCCTGGTCCCTGGCAGATACGATGGGCTTGACATAGGTTGGGGTTGGGGTCAGGGCCCTGACAGGAACTGGGGCCTGGTCCGTGGCAGGAGCAAGAGCCGGGGCCCGGGCTGGTCATGGGGCTGCTGGAGAGGGACATGGAGCAGCTGTCCCCTCCTTCGGAGACGTCCATCCTGGTTGTGTCGAGGACATCTTTAAGCTTCTCCCTAAGAAAAAGACAGCATTAAACAGCTGGTCATACTATGTATGTAATAATACATCCCCTTATTTATGTCTGGAGGCGTTCTTACACAACATGTTCTCTTTCCTTTATCTGACCCCGTGATTTATCCGTACTTATGCCGTTTCACTTACAGCAACACCCGACTAGCTATAATAGCTCGAGGTTTTCTTTTCTTTTCTCTGCTGTTACATTACGGCCTCTCAGTTTCTCCCTCTACTATGTGTCCTGACCTCGCCAGTGCTGTTTAAATCTAAAAAGGAATGGTAGTTGCTAAGCAACATGCGCTTTTATTTCCATTAAATCTGTCAATACGGTACTAATTCTATCCGTCCCTCATGTTCTGCATCCTGCCTTATCTCGTACCGAGACAACCGCTGCTCTGTTGTTTTAGTGTTCTGCATCAAAGACACAATTTCACATCATTTTCAGAACCTTTTCACAGATTTCACTCCTTGTTGGACGGACAAATGGAAAACCAGTCAACACGAATACGTCTTTTGAAGGAGTGTGACCTGCAACTGCTGACATTTTCTTTTAATTTGTTCACTGCAGTATTTAAAAATACTGCAGTGAATCGGTGACGTCTCCTGCATTTGTATGCTGATAAATGGATCTGCTGAGGTGACTGAACCCTTAGATCTTGTTTAAAATATTCAAGAATTAATAAGAAACAGCAGCGAAACCCTACGAGGTAAACACTGCATCTTAAATTCATTATGATATATTTGTCATTTATAGACCTTACAACTGTGGAAGCTGACTTTCTACTCAAATTAAATATAGATATATAAATACAAAAAAAACAGTGAAAGCAACTGACTTGACATCTGTCGACTGCTTAATTATTGATAATTTGAAGTAAAACAGAGACACTTTGGGACCATAATAATGCCTCGACATCCGAAACATCGCATCTAAAATGTATCGGTGCTAATTCCTTTGAAAGATGAATGTGCATTAAAGACCTGAGCCACAGTAGAGATGAGCCGAACCTGTTAAAGTTGTTGGTGTCTGTGAAGCGTGCGCCACAGACGGCACAGTTGGAGAGGCGGTCCTCGGAGTGGATGAGGAGATGCCGGCCGAGCGAGCCAGGAGAACTCAGGGCTCGCCCACACACTGGGCACACATAGCTCTTGCTGTTGCTCATCATCGTCGTGTGCTGGTAAAGACAGCGAAACAAGATTAGAACAAGAAACTGAAAACGGGGAACAAATGATAAAGTACACCTCCAACATTAAAAGATATATTAATATAATCATATCTTAAACTGTGGGTGATCCCTCACAAATACTGAAACATGCGTTTGTTATTAGAATCAGATCTTAATTAATATTTGATAAAAACATATATAATTATCTTTGACAGTACTGTGCATGCTATAAGCATGTTAAGTTAGTCATTTTTTTAAAATAAAAAGCAAACATTTAAATGGAATACTAATGCATTACGACAAAATGTTTTGGAAATAAAGTCTACAAGTAAAACTTAAATGACAGGACATTGAAATGTGATCATCAGGGCCAAGAACTAGCCTTGCAATTAATCACACCGCTACGGTTTGAGACCGCTGTACTTACGCTCCACACCCGGTTATCAACACAGACACTATTGCAATTGCTCAACATTTCAGTGACAGAATGCACAATCATCGTTCAGCAACTTTAAATGCAATAACCACAAACTGCCTGACACTTGCAGAAAAAGACAAAGCATGCACAGTGTTGAATGTTTGAATTCTGCAAATGCCGAGGAACGGTGTAAATCAGCTACTGAATAATAAGTGAGACCTCACGGCCATTGATGAATACACACGGGATGAGACTGGAAGGTGTGGATTGCTGTAAAATGGAAGATAAAGACTCCGGCTGCAGCTGCAGCATTTTTAAAGGGAGCGTAAGAAACTATTTACTATTAGCAAATATACAATATATTTTCAAGATATCTGGCACTGAACACACGTTGTAAAAGGTAAGGGTCTCACGCAGTTACAGGACAACGTAAGCACTAGATCATACAAGTCAACACATTCTCCCTCAACCTGCATTTCACTGAGGTACTGATGCTGTAAGCTCCTTAAGGGCTTTAGAGGTGATGACCTCCCACTAGTATAGTAGAAACAGACTGCAATAAAGGATCTGCAGGAGCTGCTTTGTTTTCTCGGTTCTGTCGTAGATTAGGACAGGCGACACAGTGTCTTTCTCACCTGGTAGACATGGGAGATGAGCTTCTCAGGGCTGCTGAAATCCAGCGGGCAGAGAGGACAAACAAAGTTGTTGCCGTGGTCTGCCCCTTCCTCGCTCTCCTGAGGGAAACCAAGCACCATTAAAACACGTACCAGGAGCCAAAGCTGCACCACGACATCGCCACAAGTTCAATCTAGATACCAAACTGATGTGGAGTCACTACTCACTTCACGTTTCTAGTTGGAGCATTTCTGCAAGTGGTGGTGATGTGTTGAGTGTGTGAATGAGCCAAAATTCTCACAAGCCCCAGTGACTCACTAACAGTGACACGATGCTGTGTGCTGTCACAGATGTGACTCTCACACACACACACACACACACTCACAAGTTGAAATACAGAACATTTTCAAACAGAAGGTCCTGGCACAAAACATCTTGTCTGACACCAGAGGTGTTCTGTTCATTGAAGTGCTCGCTGTTTATGGGGTATGTTTTGGTTGTTACGCCCCACAGAAGTGCGAAAGTATTAACAGAAATACCTCTTTTAATTTCGCAATTTTATTCATTTGACACAAATCTCAAGAGAGTAAAATCTGTCAAATTAATTTTTAACAAATATATATTTGAATCTAGACAAAGATAAAAATGTAACCATATGAATGTTAGATCTACGTCAAAAATTCATCACTGTGGAGTATTGGTTGTATGGCTTACAAATAACATCAATATTTTTAGGCTATGCAGCGGTGTGCAATCTATAATGCAATATTATCATATTTTGTCTAAAAGAACACAACTATTGTATTTAACACCTTGATGTGTCTGATCATACCAGCGTGATCATTTGAGTTAACCGTAGTGGACCAATACTGTAAGCCTTGACCGTAAATTAATCTAATGTCCAGATATGCATTCTGTATGACTGTCTGTATGACTGGAGATAACAAGAAGTACTACGTGTCTCAAATAACAGGGAGCGACTGACTGTATGTCTGAAAATAATAGGAAGTACCTACGTCTGTGTAGCTTCAGAAAGTGGATACTGAGAGAGGACGTAAATGCAGCCTAAACCTTGATTGTACGTGTGTAATTAAAGACACTCTCTTGTTTAGGAGCTCTTTATCACAGAATTTCTGCCACATAAACTAATCTGAATTCAGAGGGAACACAGTTCGTATTATATGACAATTTACACACATCAGAATGTCCTGATGATATCTGAGTGACACTCTGAGGTGGTGTACAGTCATTTTGAAGTCAGATTGGACTTGGAAATGTGTTCCTTATTATTAAGTTTGACTAATTATTCAAACAATTGAAATAAAACATTTCTCTGAAACAGGCACTTCACTTCTTTCGCTCTCTCCAGGCTCTTTTCCGGTCCCCTGCTACTATCCGGATCCAACGTTCGCAATACATCGAGTATATTCGATATGTCGCCCACCCCGATGCCAAAGCACCAACTTCCCAGTACAGTGGCCGCAATACCACTATGAACCACAAGTGGCCCAACCTCTCACCTCTTTGACTCCCGCTCCTTGTAGGCGGCACTGCGTTCTCTTGGTGGTCATGTGGTCGTCAGCAGAGGTGTTGGAGGAAGAGTCTTCGCCGAGGTTGTCGAGGTCACTATCGCTGTTTTCTATGGAGGCAAACACAGCCCTATCAATACAGACGGACAACAGAACACAGAGCAGGGTTTACTCTCACTAACACCCCTCGGTCCCAAGACGTCCCACACAGAGTCCATCCAGTCCCCCCCCCCCCCCCCTCCCCTCCCCTCGTCCCGTCCTGTCCTTCCATCTTGTACCTGAGATGCTATCCTGCTCTTGTACTTCCCGGGAGTTGTTGCTGCAGCATTCATTGTCTTCGGTGAATTCGTCCCTGCCATCCATGTTAATAGTGTGCTGAAGTCCTGTGATGCCTGAAGTGTGGAATGGCCCTGGTGATTAAAAAAAAAAAAAAGAAGACAGTAGCAGTCAGTCAGATGAAAGTGTTTCCAGTGAGCACAATGAACGGGAGTGACTGATGTGGGTTGGTATTAGACTATATAAATCCAAGATCTTGGATATCTATCGTGGTATCTCCGGGTGTATTAGACTCATTTTGGCAATGTTGCAGCATCTTTTTGTTTGCACATAAATGAGATAAAGTACCTTGATATGTCAGGTATTTAATTTGCTGGAAAACAGACATTCCCATCTGTTTTTTAGCCATTAACGTTCCAATTTATTTTCCAGAAAATGTATTACGTCACGAAACACAGCGATATGGCACCCTGTATTTAACACTAAATCATAATATGATGATATAGTAGAGTTGGATGGTGCAAAACCTCTCTCTCATTGCTTAAGTAAAGCATTGGTTGTTGACATAACAATGAATGAATAAATCCATCAATCAATAAGAACCACAATTAACCTTTATGTCTGCAGCTGCATTAAACAGGTGTGGAGCACATGAATGGAAGACCGAGCATGTCGATCAAGTGTCACGACGTCTAAGGCTGTTCTTGTATGACAATGTATTTCACTATAACTGCACACCATGGCAGGACCTCCTGTTCAGGAACTGATTACACAAAGAACATGCTTTTTAGAACATGTGAATTCATAATAATTAAACATGTCAATAAATTACATCTGTTGTAATACATAGGCCACCTTTTGACCCATCTATTGTATTCAGCATACGAGTGCTTTAGCTCCACGGGAACATAGAAACAGCATCTACTGTCATAGCACACCATCAGAAGGTATTCATCTTTCAACACTATTGAAATTCACCTATAGCTTTTGTCCACACTGATATCAGAACATTTAGCAATTCAAGCGTAGAAAGGAAGAGATTTCAGTGACACAAAATGGTAACAAAGGTGAAAAAAAAAAAACAGCAGCAAATGGTGCATTGTTTCTACATTTCTACATTTTTTTTTTGACACGACTTTTGGGCTCCACACCAGACGTGGACCACAAAAACGTCTTTGCCGATGAGGCTGCATACGAACCATCCGACACTGAAACGTAATGAATGCTAAGGCAGCGAGAGAAGCACACTGACATACGTGCACACACACATCAACCTCATTTGCATCCCAACCCCCACTTTTTCACACACACACACACACACACACACACACACACACATATACACTGACAGATACATGCTAGCTCTGTTCGACAGCCATGCTGCAGTCCCACGGGGGAAGCAGCCTGCACTCTTTCCTCTAGCTAGCTGCTCACTGTTTCTCTCTCTCAGTACCACCCACACACTGAACAGCCTGGCTCGCCCTCTGTCCTTCCTGCCTGTATGTAGCTCTGACTACATCCATACATCTATACAATTACCTCTGAGGGGGAGGATGAAGCTTCATACCGTGACAGCCCATATGTGGCTCATTTAACTCATTGTGATGCCACCATTTGTTTTATAGCTCCGTCGGCGGCAGGATTCTCACAAAATCCCTTCACTTTTCTTATTATGACACGTGACCCTGCAAAGTACCTGGATTTGACTACCAACACTGCTTCGCAGTCTTGTTGAATGCTCCTCTGGCATTCACACACAACAGCATTCCACTTCAGAGCACTACAATTAATGACAGCTTAAAATCTCTCTCTCTCTCTCTCTCTCTCTCTCTCTCTCTCTCTCTCTCTCTCTCTCTCTCTCTCTCTCTCTCTCTCTCTCTCTCTCTCTCTCTCTCTCTCTCTCTCTCTCTCTCTCTCTCTAGATCAGAGATGGGAAAGAGATCCCGACTTCAGTTACCTGAGACTGAC